CTACATGCATTTATTTTGCCAAAAAGCACCATTATCTGTTGCCACGCTTCATACACGCGTCCATTCTGCTGGCAGATTAGGTCAAGGAGGAGGGTTTCAGCTTCCACACCGTAGACTCAAGGTTCGAATCCTGGAAGAGACATCAAAAGTTGCGCACTGCCAACGAGTCTCGACGCAAACGATCTGGCTGAATAGTGCTGTTATTATTCCTTACATTGATTTTTTGAATATTTAATATATATATATCTCCCGTCTGCTTTAATCGCATTATTTCGTTGTCAGAAATCACTCATATGAGATTTTTTTCAGATGATTGCTCTACCTGATCAAGCGGCTGACAACAACTTATCGCGACGGACTACGTATGTTCGGGTCCTGACCTCATCGTCCAAAATTAATCAATTTCAATGTTTGACAGCCCTTTGATTGGCCCCTTTCCCTCCTTGAAATCGTTTTGTGTCAGTTCATGTATTCAACAGACAAAGTAGAAAAGAAAGGAAACAATAGAAAAACGAATAAAATGATAACATTACCACAGGCTTGATACTATCTCACATATATATATATATTGACCGTTTGAACAGTTTTCACAAGTCAATTAAATGTGCAAACAAATCTTGTTGCATTCCTGCAGCGATCGAAAATTGTTTTTATTTCCCCCACAACCTCCGTAGTTGAACTGCACACAACGACGTACTGCACGACTGAATGCCCACCGCTCCACCATATTTTTGCAATATCCTGAATCGATCTTGAGAAAACAATCACCTGAAATGGAGACGACACTTCGTCTGTTAAACGGTAATTAAGTTGCAGAAGGAGCAAGACAACGGCGCAATCTAAATGACGCATCAGCTGGGACAAAAATGTCTATATTTGTAGATGTGGGAGCACTGTTACTGAAAGTTTTGATCAGTACAAATTTCTGACGGATAATTGGAGAATGGAACACAATACACCGAATAGTTGTTGAACTGACATGATGAGCGATTAATTTTCCGTAGGTGGTTGCACATGCCGCAGGCAAGTTTGAATTGTCGACAAATGTGACATGGTAAATCGTTGTTTTGAGAAATTCTTTGCTGCTATCGATTGGTTACCGGTTTGCACCGATGTTTTAATGAGAACGACTCTGAGAGGAATTGTTTTTGTATCTATTTGCAAGCGAAAAGCATTATGCTAACGTTCGAAACTTAAACAACTGGCAACTTGATTTTAATTAAAGATAATCACTCTGGCATCTGTGATGAAATCCGATGCCTTTTTTCTCACAATCACCTAAAGGAACTCGCTCAATATAAAGTGCAAAGGAATCATTTCCAGTGAATAACGTGCAGATAGAAAAACAACTATTTAAAGATCCCACTCCTTTCTCAATCTACAAATATCGTTGTCCTATTCAACAAAAGTGTGTAAAATCGATCGAGTTGCAAACAAAATAGATAAGGAAGCAGTTGGAACTTACGGCCCCTATAGGCATCGACCGTGGTCGAGATAGACAGGATACACAGGAACAGAAAAGAGAACAGCAAGGCACGTTGCATCGTGTCCGTCAAGCATGAACTTAAACAAATGCCATTAGAACAATAATATGTGTTTACCATCTGTTTCGAGATCAATGGCCGCTGTCATTGCAAAAGATGTCACGTGGATCACACGACTATTCCATTCCAAATCGAGCAGAAAGCAATGGAGTCAGCTGCTTTCTGTCAAAATGTTTCCCGATAAAACGACTGCTTCAGCTAATGGAAAAATCGATAGGCGGAACACGTCCGCATTTGGCTTGACGCGATCCGCACGCAGGATATCTACCGAATTCTAATTGAGTGGCTAATCGAAAACAGGACTGAAGACTGAAACTGATTATTTCAGCATCAACTTAGAGCATTTGAGATCACTAAGAATTCTGTAGCAGTAAAACGTGTCAACTTTATTCCGAAAGATATCCCAAAATGCGTTTTAAACAACATGGCGGTGAATCAGTATTCTGTGAGACCCTAAATTAGTTAGGTTCTAAATGACCTAAGTCGACATCTCTGGATTTCACTATGGTAGATACAAAAAGTGATCGTTAATTGGAGATTCCCACCGTAGACAAACTTTTGGCTGGAAGCTAGCAGTGATAAAACTGATACTTCAATTAGGTCCCTTTAGAATACTGATCTAACGACTCAAACTAATATCTGGTTGACGTTAATGACAATTAGAAGTAGTTGGTAGACAAGCTAATCCTGTTAATACTTTTTCTGTCTATAGTAACGTAGATGTGGTGTAAACAACTGGAGGAATGATTTACAGTTTGATAGGCAAAGATGCTCTGCACTAAGCCCTTCCCTTCGAGAAGGAAAAACTATCTTCTGACAGTTGTAACGATAATGATGATGATAATTTGAATGATGATGATATTGATGATCAGGTACCGAATCTAATTACTCTACGGTTATCATTGAAGCATTGTTAGCGAACAGGAAATTGTACAAGTAAAATTTCACGGAAAGTTCCTGAAATATTTCATATAAGAATCAACCGTAATGATGAGGTAAGAATCCAAAATTTTCATAATCTCTTTTTGGATTACCTGCAATTCACAAACAACAATGCCGATAAAATTTACCCAAACTCTTTCACAGTTGAAAGAAAGACAAGCATAAAGCCGTCTCACTTATCCGTTCAACTATGCCCATCCAAAATCCATTACTCCTTGAGGCTTAGGTTAATAGCGTGATGAAACGCCTAAGATTCAATTTAGAATTTGTTTCACCTCCTTCACCGAATAACCCCAATGCAATTTAGTGTAGATAACAAAAAACGCAGTATATTCAATCTATATCGTATGTAACAATGAAACAGGGATGTGGCCACAAATAGTCATATGTAATTTTATGCGATCATCTATAAGTCAAAAATAGGCCATTATTTATTTTTCATTATTTCAGACGACCAGATCATCATAAACTTTGACGTCAAACTAATTAATGCAACCGGATACCGGCAGGTAAGGATCACCCTAGGCAAATGGAGTACAACTCGAGGTTGGGTGAGTATTACCTCTCATATGATCAGGGTACTATCCGAAATTGTTTACTTCCTGTCGACGGGAGCGGAACTCAACAATTTGTTCTAATCACGAGTACACGGATGGTTTGGCCTGTATATAAGTTACTGATCTATTAAGGCAATCTATTACTGAGTCAGAAGCTGATCAACTCTAACCTCATCATGCGAAACTTGTGCGCTGTTTTCGCTTTGGCCCTACTCGTATTGACCATGTTTGAAGTGACGAACTCGGTTCCAATTGGTATGGTGAATTGTTTATCGTTCTGTTTTTTCTCCATCTGTATTTAATGCCAACCTAGTTTGAACAACACCCTTGGACGTACAAAAAAGATAGAGTCTGGTAATGTAGATTACAGTAATGACAGATTCTTTGTAAAAAATATATAATGAACATTTGAGGGACACGTTTCATCTCAGGTTGTCCTCAAGCTATACGTAGAACTTTAGACAAGATCGGGTTCTCCGAACTAATAGATGCCTACTTGATAGAAATATACCCTGGGTTGATTCTATGCAAATTCACCGCACGGGACCAGTGTACAGTAGTTTGGGTATTGATATCACCACTTGATAAATTAATTATCTGTTTCCAACATTTTTATATTGTGGTCGTTAACTACTGATGATAAATAAGGTCGATAAAAAGCGCTGGGTTGTTGGATTTTTCTTGTTGAGTATTATTAGCTGTTTTTTTAAATTTCTGTCAGGACTTGACT